AGTTTCTACGGATTTTGTAATATTAATTACGTAATTCATTGAGAGGGGTTGAAATAGTTTTACAATATTAACGTACTAATAACTCAAATTTCGCCTTTCAAAGAAAAAAAATCAATTTATCATAGGTAGTTTATATTGTAGATTATTGTAGATATAGATTTTAGGTGATAGATTATAAATTATGCACATTTATTTTAGAAAAATTCTATGTAAACTTAATATATATTTTACAAAATATCACAACTTTTAATTTTTTCAGTTATAGCGTAGGTACTACTTTTCTTATTAATATATCTTGTATTACTTTTCTTTTCTGAAACAATATTTTATATTACATTTGAATTTGAGTTTGATTTAAATTATGCGATTATGTAAAATTTTAAACTTTAAACCATATTTTAAAATGCAGTAGTTTTGAAATTTATTAAGAATATTGTTTTCTTGGGTAGATTATATGAATTTGTTAAATCACCGACAATTTCATCTAAAACTGCCCCAAAATCCAAATAAGTTCTTAAATCTATCTTACTTTCTAAATAACTTTTTAAACATTTATGAAATGTTTTGATTTTTTTTTAAGAATTGATTAATGTGCCAGCTTTGAATTATAGTTGAAAACAGGGAGAGAAGGTGAGGAAAAGAAGGGTAAAAAAGTCAAAATTTTCTGCTATTTGTAACGATTTAGTCCTATAGTTTAAAATTTGTAACAATTTAGTTCCTATCGTAAAAAAATTTATTAAAATGAAGTGTCAAATTTACATATAACAATTTAATCTTTCTAATTTATAAACATATTTGATCTCTTTTTAATTTATCAATTTATACATACAAGAAATTTTAACAAAAAAAAATCACGATAAAGATTAAATAGTTACCAACTTTAAATTACAAGGACTAAATTGTTACATATTACAATTCAAGGACTAAATTGTTACGAATTTGAAAGTATAGAGACAAAAATCATTACAAATTAAAGTTTAGGGACTAAATTGTTGGACTAAAAGTATTTTTTAACCTTTTTATAATTAAAAAGTCGTGGGTATAATTATAATTTATGAAGACCAATTATTTTTTTAGTACCATAAATATGAGACCGAAATTGAACTTTCAATCTCAAAAAAAGCATAATATAAAATGTCTTAAGATTCTTAACTACTAAACTATGCTTATGTTAGTAAATCTAATACTTTTGAGAGAGAATTTATGTAATTTATCCGATTAATAACAAAAAAAAAGATTTTAAAAGGGTTTTGTAATATTCATATTTTAAATATTAATTACTCAATTTATTGACAGAGAGTTGAAATAGACGTAGTAATAACTCAATTTATCATGCAACTATGATATAGATTATATTATAGATTATTTTTAGATAAAGATAATAAATTATTAATTGTGCACATTTATTTTAGAAAACTTACACTGCATAACATAAACTAGGTATTTTACAACATTTTATTTTTTAGTTAAACAATACTTGTGGTAATCCATGGATTTAGTCCACGAACTTCATTTTAATTTATAATGATTTATTCTTCTACTTTAAATTAGTACCAATTTTAGTTCATTTAATTTAAAATTTATGTATCCTAACTACCATTAAAAATCTCATCAAATTAAGTTTTTTTAGTGCAACAAATTGAGAGTATGAAATTTGAACCTTTGACAAGGAGAAGTAGGTGACGATGAAACTACACTCAGTTACGCTTATGTTGGCAGTCTATTTCCCTCTTTATGTAGCGATTTAATATTTGTAGTTTATAACTATATTTGATTGCTCATCATTTTATGCGATCTATACATAAAAAGTTATATTAAATTTAACTCTCTTTTTTTGGTAAGGTGTGACTTTTTTTATTAACAAATTTGAAATGAGTATTAAAACTTCTTTATTTTAGATGGCATAATTTCTCCTTTGACTTATGGTTAACTTATTAAATAGTTAACTTTTAAGCTATTAATAAATTAATTTTAACATTCACTAACAATAAAAAAAATTTTCCAAATATGAACATAGCTCTATAGTTCCATGGTACAGACAAAAACTTTACGTTGGAGGTTAAAATTTTTGCAAAAAAAGGTCTATTTTGATTCTTTATTTATGTCCATTTTCCGTCCACATTAACATTAGAATGGAGGATGTTGGAGGTGATTTCTCAATAGCCACGTATCAACATATGATATGACCAACAATGATGAGTCGACAAAAAGATTCACGTGGAAGTAATTACACCTCGTCCACTAGAAGAGGCTGAGTCAAGACAATTGTGACATGTTTTATGCGAGTTGACCTAAGTCTCACGACTTGATTGCTTGAAGCATTAGCTGAACCGAGTTCAAACTTGATGCTTGAGTTATTAGTTGAGCCAACCAAAGGACAGTTCTACAGATATATAATTCCGACATCATCTACGACAACAAACTACGATTCTCGAACTATCAAAAATTGTTGGAGACTTGTAATAAAAACCTCCACGGGATACAGGAAATTATATTCTCCCTCGGATATATATTAGCTACTAAGTTGAGCGTACTCCTATCATAGTACTCCTCTCTTTTACGGTCCTCCACTTCTACTTGTCGTTCGAACCGAGGTTCGCAGACTTGGTCAGAATCTTGATCAAACGCGGGTCCACTTTTCATTTTGTATCAAATTCAAAACTCACGAAAACCAGCTAGCATATGCCTTCTCTGTTCTCCTTCTTTCTCAATGTTGTCCGACTTCCATGAAGAAGAAGAAGACGACTCCTCCATTGTTAACATCTATATAAACCTCGTCCCTCTGCTTCATTCTCCACCCAAAATTGCAAGAACGCAATGGAGCAGAAGCTAATTGAGAGCAAAGGCCAAGTGTGCGTAACTGGCGCTTCTGGATACTTCGCTTCTTGGCTTGTGAAGCGATTGCTTTCGTCTGGCTATCAAGTAGTCGGAACCATTAGGGATCCAGGTTTGAAGTTTCTCTCCCATTTTCCTCCATTTCTCTGTTAGGGCATGGAGAAGTTCACTGAATTAGAATACAATGTGCAGGGAATGTGAAGAAGGTGGAGCATCTATGGAGACTGGAAGGAGCCAAGGAGAGGCTCCGACTCGTAAGGGCTGATTTGATGCAACCTGGGAGCTTCGATGATGCGGTAATGGGATGCCATGGCGTCTTCCACACGGCTTCCCCTGTCCTCGATGCAACCCACTCCAAGGTAAGCGTTATAAGTGGCTTATTCACTGAGCTATGTGACCTTTAATTTTATTCATATTCATTACAAATTATTGGTTAGGATGACTAGTTTTCAATATTTGTGTGCTACTTTGATTTTATCCGAAACGTCCTGTACCAATTTTATATGTTACGGATGTTCTAATATGAGACTGTGTTTGCATCATTAAACAATCTACCTCTTGTACAAATGACTACCAAATCTCTGCTTAAATAGTGGTTCTTTTGTCCACTCTAGAGCACGAGAACTTACTCTTATTAAATTCAACTTCTCTTCTTTAGAGTACATCACATGTACAATATAGTTCAACCATGGATCGCGTGTCCCTACGCTCTTTGAGATTCGCCGTTTTTTTGTTGCACTTGATTGTTCTACCGACACGTCTAAATATGAGGCAGTGCTTCGATAGCATGTCGAAAATTGCATGATTTTGTGCGCAAATGCTATGTTAAAGTACTACTAAAACTCAAAAACTTGGATTGAATAAAAGAATTGTTAGGCTGATTTTGTGCTTTCCTTTGCAACTCTCTCGCTTTCTTACACTTTCTTGGAATTCAAACAGGAAGAAACATTGGAACCAGCTATTGAGGGCACGTTGAATGTGCTACGTTCATGTAAGAAGAATCCATCTCTAAGGCGTGTGGTGCTCACTTCATCTTCCTCAACTGTAAGAGGAAGAGAAGGTTGTGACCCCAAAATACCATTGGATGAATCAACTTGGTCCCCTGTAGAACACTTTGAGAGACTCAAGGTGCCATCATACCATTCTATCCAAATAATCTCTCATCCTTTTTTATAAGGATTTTGTTTTTGGAAACTATATTTGATCATTAACTGATTTTCTTGTTTTATAATCTACCTTTTGAATATCAATAACTAACAGAAGAATAGTTTTCAAAATCTGGTTTTTGGTCTTTGAAATCGAACACGACTTAACATGACTGTTCTTAGCCAATTTTGTGCCAAATATAGACTGGAAGATGCCATTGAGCTGATGACCTCTTACTACGTTTCTAATTTTTCTTGCATAAAACTTGCGTGGGACATCAAACAAAAAGTTATGGTATCCTCTTGCAAAAACTCTAGCTGAAAAGGCAGCTTGGGAATTCTGCAACGAGAACGGAATCGATTTAGTAACCGTGCTCCCTTCGCTGATCATCGGGCCTAGTTTGTCACCCAATTTATCTCAAACAGCAACTTGTGTCCTTGGCCTGCTTAAAGGTGTGTGTGAAACTTTAGTGGCTTGCAATTTTGCAGCCTGGATTTTGGAAGCTATATAGACTGAGTTTTTGTTGAAATAATGCAGGGGAAGCAGAGCCTTTCCAGTCCATTGGAAGAAGGCTGGGATATGTCCACATTGATGATGCTGCCCTCTGCCATATCCTTGTTTTTGAGAACAAAGATGCCAAAGGTAGATACCTTTGCTCCTCAACTGTGCTGGAAAACCATGAGTTGGTATCGCTCCTATCATCCCGTTATCCTTCCTACCCTGTCCCGAAAAGGTTTGGCTTTCATCAACTTAATACTTAAAGATATTCTAGTCATTGTATTTTTAGATGACTTCTAGGTTAGTCTCCGTACTTTCAAATGTCTAAACTTATATTCTATTTAACTTTTGCTGAAAGAAATCTAGTCCCTACCCCTATAATAAGCCTTTCCTCTAGAAATTCAAGAAATATACTTACATTGTGCTTTTCCTTGAATGAAAATTATTAGTTTTTGAAAATGAACTCCAAGCTAATGATCGAGGTATTGAAAGCTAATGATGAGGTATTGAAAGTAGAAAAACCAAATTTAAACATTTGAAAGTATAGCGACTAAAATAAAATAAGTTCTAAAGTACATGGTGAAAACAATATGTTGCTAAATATATATATATATATATATTTTCTTTTGTAGATTTGAGCCATCAAATAGACCATATTATGAGTTCAACACCTCAAAGATTGAGAAGTTGGGGATCAAATTTAAGTCTGTGGAAGAGATGTTTGATGACAACATTGCATCTCTCTTGGAGCAACGCCATCTTTCTTCACCTTAATTTCCACTTCCTCAAGATGTTTGATTGAACGCAAAACAAGAGTTATATATCATATAGATGAATTTTGTGGTTACGACTCAAATAAAAAATAATTGTCGATCACATGGTTGTGGCTCTGTTGGATAATTTCTACTGTTTAAAAATATGAAATTGTTCTCAATAAATATGAATTTAAACAAACACTTTGGTTTTTCAATGTAGCATATGTCTTTTCCTCTCTAAATATTTAAAAAATAGAAAATAAAAAATGATTATAAACATATTTGGTTTTTGCTTTTCTGTTTCATGCCAATAAAAATTCTTATCCTAGTCTCTTTATATACATGATTACATGGCCGCCACAAAAAATAATAGTTTTATTTTTTAAAAAGTTTAATTCCTAATGTTCAAGTGATTTTTTAATTTAGCTTCCATTATTAAAAAAAAAATTCAATTTAATCCACCGTGTTTTAACATTTTTCCGATTATATGAATGTTTTAAAACTTATGTCAACTTCTCACAAATTTGAAAAATGTAATATAAACTTTTCTAACTTTAAGTGGCATACTTTCCCTTTTACTAAGTTACCTATACTAATTCACGTAGTATCATGTTACCTAAGTTCATCGTTGATTTTAATATTCATACAAAATAAAAAACTTAACTGGAAAAACAACATAGCAATATATTTTTGGTCGTAGGTGTCTATTTGGTCTCTGAAGTTTTAAAATGAACACTTTTGGTGTCTGAGGTTTGAGAAATAGTTCGGTTATGATTTTTTTTAATGTTAATAAACTAATATTATAACGACGTGGCAAATTGTAATTAAATTGTTTATTATAGTTGTTGATGTGGCAAATTATATTAATTAAATAATATATGTGTTGGTGATGATGTTTTCTCCCTCTTCTCCTCATTTTTTCCTCTCTCTTTCTCTTACCCTTTTCTGACGACCACCACATCTTTGCCGCCGCTGTCCGCCATTCATACCGGACATATATCATTTAATTAATATAATTTGTCACATCAGCAACTACAATAAACAATTTAATTGCAATTTGCCACGTCGTTATAATATTAGTTAATTAACAATAAAAAAAATCATGACCATTTAGAACTATTTCTCAAATTTCAAGGACCAAAAGTGTTCATTTTAAAACTTCAGAGATAAAGTTGACACTTGCTTTAAACCTCAAGGACCAAAAATATTAATTTTGAAACTTCAGGGACCAATTAGATACATACCTCAAACCTCGGGACCAAAAGTATTCATTTTGAAATTTCAGGAACCAAGTAGACACCTACCTCAAACCCCAATGACCAAAAAATGTATTTTGCCCCATTATAAATTTAAATCAACAAAATAATAAGAAGTTTTTGCGAACCTGAGCAATATTTTATATCAAACTAAATACGGGCCTTTGATAGGATAAAAGAAGCTAGACAAAAAATCAAATGGGAGAACCACCACCATTTCAATATAGGAATTGATCTTCTAATGAATTCAATGGTATCCCAAAAAAATAAAATAATAAAAATAATAAATAAATAAATAATAATGAATTGAATGGTTCTAGCATAATACAAATGAAAGAAGAGGAATGACATCCTAATGAGATGTCAATCTTAGCTATATAATTGAACCAAATTCCTTTAACTTAGCTATATAAGACGTATAACTTTTTCAATTGAAAGTTAAAATCTAGTTCCCATATTTATTGTTCTGAAATAATAATAATAATAAAGTTTAAATATTATTTTGATCTCATTTCCTTTTTTTTCCACCTATTTTCTTCGAATTAAAATAGAAAGAAATAAATATATAAACTACCATTCAACCCAAACGTAAACTAATAAATTAGGTAAATTTAATTTATATATGATATCAAAACATGTTGAATGTGCTACTTTCATGTAAGAAGAATCTCATCTCTAAAACGTGTGGCCCCAAAGTACCTTACCTTTGCTCCTCAATTGTGCTAGAAAATCCACGTTGACATTACTCCCATCATCCCGCTGTCCTTCCTACCCGCTCCCGAAAATGTCTAGCTTTCATCAACTTAATACTCCAACTTTCAGTTAAAATACTTTTTTGGTCTTAGTATTTTCAGACTTATTCTATTTTAGTTTTTGCACTTTCAAATGTCTAAATTTAGTTTCTATACTTTTAATAAAACTTGAAATAAGTCCACTCATTAATTTAGAGTTAACTTTTGCCAAAGGAATCTAGCCTCTGCTCCCTGCCTTTTTTAGTCAATGCGGTGTTGAAAATGGGTTGGGCACTTACTTTCAAGTTTGTGGCATCAAATAGACGAGATTATGACTTCAATAGTTCAAAGGTTAAAGAAGTCGGGATCAAAGTACCTTACCTTTAAAAATTGTGCTTTCTCCATATGTTGTACTAAAATAAGGCGGAATAAAACTTCAACATCTAACAAGGTGGCATGACGACATTTGGAAATTAGGTTATTTCAAGGAAAATGGAAAACTATTACACGAGGCCTCCACCGTCCACAGTCTATAAACACATGTTCGAAATCCTCTAATCTGCATAATTCTCAATCTAAAGTGGATAAATTACCGATTACCATTCTTAAAGTTAATTGTCTCATCTTTAAAAGAAAAACTACTTCGATGGGATAAAATCATGACTACAGCCACGTTGTTTCAACCCCTCAAATAATTTCCGAGAGAGAGCGAGAGGGCACGAGAGGTGTTTGTCCTAAGATTCCTCATTGAGGTGGCAGGTTGCTAGGCCACAGGCCACAGGCACCACAGAATGGTGAGAAACAACGTGTGGAGGCGACGTCCCGCAATGGGCGAGTGGCTGCAATGGCCGCCACACCTTCCCCTTTGAGAAATTGACCGTTCTCTCAGGTTTTCTTTTTATCTGAAAGCAACCACTCTCTCCTCCCTTTGCTTAATTAGCTGTCATGGGAGCGGCCGTGAATAAGATATTTATTACCTTTTTAGATTGACGGTTCGATGTTAAATACACTAGTAAACTCAAATGATTAGTGGCTTAATAATTGAACTAATGGGGTTGATTCCGATCCTACTATACATGATTGAAAGTTTAAGAATTTTAAAAAAATATAATTAAAGATGATATACAAGTACCAAATTATTGCAACCTCTTGGCCACCCTACCTTCACTTTTTAAAGAATCTCGCTCCTGTATCGTGGAACTTGTAGCTCGACAGTCCATTGAGTGAGTACAACTTTAAAAGTTTAATGACCTATTTGAAAACAAACATGCACTGTGACTCAAATGATCCGAGTATTAATAAATAAATTGATCAGGAATTTGGAATCGAAAACTTAAGATCATTTTTAGAAATTTTAAAAGATCTAAGAAAATTTTTAAAGTTTAAGAATTTATTTGAAACTTAAAGTATAGAGATTAAATAGTACACTTTAAAAGTTTATTAACTAAATTTAGAATTTAACTCTATTTTTGTTTCAAGAGTATAATGGAGATTCGAAATTATAACTTATAATTGAGATATTTAAATAAATATGATATAATAAATATGTATTTTTACATGTAAAGTTTTAAATTTTACCAAAAAAAAAGGTCCAAATTAAACTTAAAACTCAAAAATAATATAAAATACATTAGAAAAAAGTCAATTTTATGCTAAATTAAAAAAAATGACAGTTTTAAAAATACATGGTAATTTCTCATTTGTTTAGTAACCTCTTTAAACTTTAAATTAATTAAACCAAGAGTTATGTTGGGTTAATCACGGAGGGCAAATAAAAACAAAAAATGAGTGAATCATGATATATAGGAGATGACAATTATTTTTATTACTATAAATTTTTTCTTAATAAAATAAAAAATAAAACAAAATCGTGAGAATTATGTCGAGAAAGAAAAGAGTAGGGAGACCAAATAAACATCACCCAACCAAAGCCAAAGCCTAATTTGCTAGTTTTATAGCAAAATCAAAAGCTTGATTTCAATTTTCAAAAGTCTAGTACGTGGAGAAATTCATTTCATGCGGTCCTGGAGACTCTGCGGCCTCATATTTCTTCCCTCCAAATCTTCCCCATTATTTTACTTTATTTTATTTGTTTTCTCCCGCGGGGAAATCTTCATAAAGAGACAAGACTATGGATAAACTGGTGGCAAATCAACGGCTATCATTGGATGAGCTGCATTTTACATGGGGTATGCAATACCGTTGGGTGGGAGGCATATTTAATGGCGAATGGGGACGTTATCTTCAACCGTCATCCCCTCTGCACACCACCTGTTCGATCAAATTCTTCAGACAGCTTCTGGGTCTCAAATTTCACTCTGGACCCCAAAAAAGAGGTCTTTGGGTTTTCAGAATTCACTTCATAGCTCTGAATTCTACTCCAAGTCCTATGTGGGAGCAACTTCTAAGTGGGTTCACTCTGCTTTTTTTGTCCATATAATTGAAGTCATGCTGGTACATGCCTTTTGCTTCCTATGTCAGCAGCTCTTCTGCGTTTCCTGTAATTATGTTGAGTTTTGCTTGGTTGGTTTTTGGGGGGAAGATAACTTCTTACTCTCTGTTAACTTCTTACTCTCTGTTTTCAATTGTTATTCTCTCTTTTGCAGTTGGTTTTCATTTCCCTTCCATTGTCAAGTGCTGTTGTTTAACCTTTGACTTTCTTTTCTACACCGGGCTTCTGATTGTCTCAGATTCTCATCTTTTTCTTTTTCTCTAGAGTATCTAAATTTGGAAATTAATTTGACACTACTTGGCAGGTTGCTCTGTCCACAAACTAAAGAGGGACAAAATCAATGGAGAACAACCGAGACGTCGGCAATAGTGAGCCTGCAGACAAATGGATGGCATTTGACAGAAAATCAAATGAAGCAGGAGAAGACAGAAAAAATTCGCAATCTTCTTCCAAAAGGGCGGTAACAACAGAAGCAATTATAGCAGAAAGGGCGGCGGAATGGGGACTGGTGGTGGAGACAGACGTGGAGGAAGGCAGTTTCAAGGCCATTGTGGGGAGAGCATCAGGGGAGGGAGGCGGCAGCAAAAGGTCATCGGAGAAAATCAGTGACTCAGGAAGAACGTCTAGCTTTAGCAAAGAAACCTCGGGAGTTTTTCCGAGGGTATCACAAGAGTTGAAGGATGCTTTGGCTTCTTTGGAACAGACATTCGTTGTCTCTGATGCCACTAAACCGGAGTGCCCCATCGTTTATGCGAGCAGTGGGTTTTTTGGCATGACTGGTTATGCGTCTGAGGAAGTCATTGGAAGGAACTGGTAAGATCAATTCACTGACTAAGGAAAAAAAAAGAAAGAAACTTTTTGGAGTAAACCAAAGCTACAAAATATGAAGGCAAACCAAAGAAAAGAAAGTACAGTCCTGGGTCAAATAGCGGAAGGAATAAGGACACCAATTAAAAGATGATTTGTGATTATTTATTTTTCACCAGAAATTTAGGGAACCCATATTGCCTTCTCTCTCTGATTTTCAAAAAGTTTCTTTCTTTCTGCAGATTTTATTTGAAAAGGCCTTTCTGCATATTTAAAGAGGAAAAACTTCTTCGTACTTGTGGGGGGTTTTTTTTTTTTTTAAACTTTGTTTTTGGAGTTTTCTTCCAGTGCCAACAAAATTTTGCCATTGTAATTAGTTTCTTATTACGGGGACATTATCAATAAGCCAAAATTATAATGAAAATGAGGTTTTTTAACTTCCTGAAAATAATGTTTAGAATTTATGGTCGGAGAATCATTAGAATTAGAAAGCAACGCCCAGAAAGAGTTCGAGATCTTCCAGCAAACCTCCAAAGTCCAATTTCGGACGTAATTTGGAATACCCAGATGCCTAGTACTTGGATGTACTCTTTCGCTTTTTCTAAATTTTTCATAGAGGCTCAGCTGGATAGTATGGGCTCATAATCAGTTCTCCATATCTTGGGTTTGATGCTAAAATGGACTTTTTACCTCTGTCTAAGATGGCTGGCTTCCAAATGGTAAAAGTAAAATGAAAATTGACTTGCAGCGAAGCTTTAGTGAGCTGAAAATTTCATACTTGGGTACTGAGTGAGTTTTTGTCCGTTTGTTTTTGGGTGGCAGTCGTTTTCTTCAGGGACCAGAGACGGACCAGAAAGAAGTTGACAAAATTCGATATGCAGTGAAAAACGGCAAAAGCTACTGCGGGAGGCTCTTGAACTACAAGAAGAATGGCACTCCTTTCTGGAATCTTCTGACAGTCACGCCTATCAAGGATGACAACGGCAATACCATTAAATTTATTGGGTTTGATTCCTTCTTCGTCTTTTAAATAATCTTTTGCTAATGGGGGCACTTTTGTGTGCACGTTTGAATTTGATGGTTGGTGCTAGAAAATGATCAGGCCTTTCATGGTTGCATTATATTGGTTCTCCAGAAAAATAGCAGTCTAACATTTTTTGAACCATGAAGTTGTACTCTCTTGGTTATTGATTTTCTCAAGTTTCTGCTCCTGTGCCAACACGCCATGGAGTATATTGTCTCCATGCTTGTGCTTGTGTATCAACTTCTGGTAAAATCATCAGAATAATAAAAATTGGAGCTACTAAAGTGCAAAGAGAACAGAGAAAGTTATACATGACCACAAGATTCTGTGCAGAAAATTGTAATGAACAGAAAAACTTCTGACAGTCACGCCTATCAAGGATGACAATGGCAATACTACTAAATTTATTGGGTCTGATTCCTTCTTCGTCTTTTGAATAATATGCTAATGCGGACACTTCTGTGTGCACATTTGATTTTGATGGTTGATGCTAGAAAATGACCAGGCCTTTCTTGGTTGCATTATGTTCTTCTTCAATTAAATGGTGCTGGGAAGGGGGTCTGTTGATTATATTAGTTCTGTGAAAAAATAGCAGTCTAAGTTCAGTTTTTTAAACCATGAAGTTGTAACTCTCTTGGTTATTGGTTTTCTCAAGTTACTCCTCCCGTGCCATCTTTCCATGGAGTATATTGTCTCCATGCCCCTGTTTGTGTATTAACTTCTGGTTCTGGTAGAATCGTCAGAATGATAAGACTTGGAGCTACTAAATGCAAAGAGAACAGAGAAGGTGATACATGACCACAAGATTCTGAGTGCAAAAGACTGATGAACTAAGATATTGAAGAAACACAACACGCACTTTCAAATTTTAGCATGAGATTTTATCTCAGTACTCAGTGTAGTGTGGTCTTTAAGCTTTGTAGAACGATGTCTAAGAATCTTCAACTATAAGTCACATGCAAGGAATTAAAATCTCTCTCAATTACTTGTATGGAGTTTGCTGGAGCTTTGGTCTTATTACTATAATGTTTTTTTTTGGTAAATATAAACTCTTATCTCATTTTAAAGAATGGAATTTTCTATGGCAGAATGCAGGTAGAAGTAAGCAAGTTCACAGAAGGTATCAATGAGAGAGCATTACGACCAAATGGGTTGCCTAAGTCATTAATCCGCTATGATGGTAACCAATCTTCCAAAATTCTATTGAATAAGATGCTATCTTCACCTCTAATTTCACTTTGATTTTTCAGCTCGCCAGAAGGAAAAGGCATTGGTTTCCATCACAGAGGTTGTTCAAACTGTGAAGAATCCTCGATCTCATAGTCGAGCTGTGAGTCACGACAGTACCAGGAATAAAGAATACTTAGAGAAGTTTAATCTTGACCATATTCTTCCAAAGTCAGTTGAAGCTGCAAATGATACACCTGGTAGACAAACTCCTCAACAGGATCCCAGAGATGATGGCTTAGGCAAGAAACCTAGGTTATCGAGTCGCGTTTCTTTAATGGGGTGAGTTATTCTTACCGAATTGTTGATTGTTACACTGTGTTGATTCCAATATTGGCTGTTGAAGATTTAGTTACTTAGGGACTCATGCAATTAATGCATAATTTCATAACTACGACTGAATGGTTGGTTAATATGACTTGTAACTATCACTTTGTGGTATTGGATTTCAGGATGCTCTTTCTTGTGTATCTTGCAGGTTTAAAGGGAGATCTATGAGCAGTTCAAGGAAGCTTGAAGAGACAATAACCTTTGAACCGGAAATTTTGATGACTGATGAAATAGAGCGGTCTGATAGTTGGGACCGTTCTGAAATGGACAGAGATGTTCGCCAAGGAATTGATTTAGCTACCACATTGGAACGCATTGAGAAAAATTTTGTCATTACTGATCCAAGACTTCCTGACAATCCAATTGTAAGATCACTTTCTTATACTGTATGAGAGGTTATAGTTACACTGGGTCTGATACCATGGAGTGAACATGAACTTATTAATCATAGAGGTGGAATAAATTTAAAGTGCTCATAAAGAAGCAAAATCTTGTTCATAATGCATCTCTATTTCTTTTTCATTCCATCTGGCACGATTGTTTGCATATTATAGTCCCTTTTAAGATAAAACCAAACATTTCGTGATTCATACCGAGGTAAATTAACTTGTCATGAAAATTACTTGATGAATCTTGTATAACTTTCCCTTTTAACCTATAAATCATATCTCATGGTTCGTACTTATGATAATGCACAAATATTTATTTGATATGAAGGACTGCTGCTAAAATAACTTTACGTTTGGATGCAGATATTTGCATCCGACAGCTTTCTTGAATTGACAGAATATACACGTGAAGAAATTTTGGGACGGAACTGCCGGTAGAGACATCATATTTGAATCTTTTCATAAAAAAAGAGTATCTTTTATGTGTTTTTTTTTCTTACTTCCAATAAAAAAAAACCCTTAAGTTTCAATTTATCTTCCTTACTTTTTCAAGCTATTCATTATTTCTCTTTCCACTTCTGTGGGGTGTCTCAGAAAGTTATCGTTCTGTATCTTGCTCGACACGAGTATAAAAGACTTCATAGTCTTTATGATGAATAATATGCTTAAACATATAACCAGCTGGGAATTTAACTGCATTACATCTAGTTAATTTGCACTTATCATAAAATTCTGGTTTGATTAACTTACGCCAAAGTTCCATATAAATTTTAGCAGATTTTTTTTCTTAATAAAGGTAGTATTTTTCCCATTCATCACACAGGTTTCTCCAAGGACCTGAAACAGATCAAGAAACTGTCTCAAAGATAAGAGATGCAATCAGGGAGCAAAGAGAAATAACTGTTCAGTTGATCAACTATACCAAGACTGGTAAGAAAATACTGTGGTGTTATAAAGATGAACCACATATAGGATGCACCCTGATAAAATGACCTTTAATGATTTCTATTGGTTAATTTTGCTTCAGATTTCAGGATTTAGTTTGAATGATCACATTTGATGTACAGTTTTGAAGTTTTCTGCCCTTCATCATTTAGCAGCAGCATGTTAAATTACCTGATTTTATGAATTATAGGTAAGAAGTTCTGGAATTTATTCCACTTGCAACCGATGCGTGATGAAACGGTGACTGTTAAAACTTTCTATCCCATTTGACACTTGAATTTCAGCATATTATATTGCAAATTCTATCCCATTTGACCTTTTCTTGTGAATCACATTTTATTTTTGTAGGGAGAGCTTCAGTACTTTATTGGTGTACAGCTAGATGGAAGTGGCCATGTGGAACCTTTGCAAAACCGCCTTTCTGAGACAGCAGAACAACAAAGTGCCATGCTGGTATAACTTATATTTTTTTTCCCTTTTATTAGTCTTATTGCGTCTTTTGCCCTTGATCCTTCCTCATTTTATCTCGTGCTTAAAAAAAACTTAGAATTTTGATTAGGTGTTGTGTTGGTTACCAAAAATGTATAAAAAACTTGTTTATATATTTTAAACTGCAATAACTTTGACATGTATTTAGTTAGGTAGGTACTAATCACAAAAGTTCTTATTGAAATTATTTAGTGTTCTGCTTAAACATTTACTTCTGAATATATCAAGGATGGCTCTTTAATCATGTGACACATATAAAAAAATCATGATGGGGGTGAAGCAGGAAAAAGTGTCTCACAAGTCACAACATAGGCCACTTTCTGTTTAGTAACTAGAAATGCTGCAAAAATCATAGCTAGAGAAGAGAATTGAGGCATTTAGGGCAGGATTCGGAAATTGAAACTGTCCCGTCTGTTTAAGTTTTTTGGTTATTACGCAGGCAAATAATGATAGAAACTCGACTCTTTTTGTCAGATTAGTCAAAAGATCGATTATCAGCACTTGGTTTGTATTCAGTACTTGTTTTTCCTTTATAGGTTAAAGCCACTGCAGAGAATGTCGATGAGGCTGTTCGTGAACTTCCCGATGCCAACTTGGTAAGGTACTTCTTTTGCTCTATGTTTGAATTAACATAACTAACTAATGTATTTATATAAGCAACAAAAGACCGACTCTTTTCTGACTTTAAGGTTTTTTTTGTTTTTGTGTTTGTTATGTATCTAAATATAAGGAATTTACATTATGTGTTCAGGTCCCTTTTCTATTACACTCTCGTTTCCCTTTTTCCTAAAGGAAATAGGGATGTGGTTTAGGAATCATCTTTTGTTTTTTGTTCTTTTTTTCTTCTAAAGAGAAATAGCATTTCTTTATTTCTAGTTCTGTATTATTTTAAATTGGAAAAAAATAAACTTTTTCTTGAATTTTATTTTTATATAATGAAATATGAAAATTTATTGGGTGATATTTTAGCTTGATGATATTTAACATATAATTTATAAGTCAAAATGGTACAAATAATAATTTCATTAAAAATTTGTAAAACTAGAAAGAAAAAAGGGGAAACTTGTCTTCATGATTTTATGACCATTCAACCATTATGGGTTGGTCTAGTGGTCAATAAGGGCCAACGTTAATAGTAAAGGACTTAGAGGGAATGGGTTCAAACCATGGTGGTTACTTATCCAAGATTTTTAATATCTTATGAGTTTCCTTGGTAACCAAATATAGTAAGGCAAATGGTTTTCCTGTGACATTAGTCAAGGTGCACACAAGCTGGTCGGACACTCATGGATATTAAAAAGGAAAAAAAAAGATTTTAGGAGCATTTATGAAAAAAGATAAGCTAGAAATATGAACTATAACCATTACCAAACAGACCCTTGTTCTCCTGAAAAAAATCTGTCAAGCATTCTAGAGATGTCAATTGTTTGGTTTCAAACTCTTGATTGCTAAAAGAAAGATGTTGTAATTTAATCATCCAACTGTTTCAATTTCAGAGACCAGAAGATTTATGGGCAATTCATTCTCAACCAGTCTTCCCAAGGCCTCACAAGAAGCATAATCCTTCTTGGACTGCTATACAAAAGGTAACTTATGTACCATTGTATTTTTTATCCTTTTTCTTTTTTGTTATCTCGACTATTGAAATTAAAAAAAAAAAATATATCCAACAGTCGTGTTGCCTCCAAATTTCTTCTTAACTTTGCATTTTTCTTTTATAAGCTTCCAAATCCAGTACCGAAATCAAGATTATATTGTTCCCAGCTTCTAGATTCTTCGTAATTTTACCTTGTACTGTTTTATTTCATCCATGCGTCTTAATAACTAGCCGAGTACATTCCCTCTTTCGTTAGGTTCAGAGGTAGAGCTAGTCCACATAAAATAGATTGAGGCAGCAGTTTCTTTAGCACTAAATATTGTTTCAAGGAGCATTTTTACTTGTTATCCTACTTGTTTCTGAATCTTGCTATGGTTTTCTTCTTGTCAATTTAAATTTCTTTGTAGATTATTCGACGTGGTGAAAAAATTGGACTTCAACATTTCAAACCAATTAAACCACTGGGTTGTGGAGACACTGGCAGGTAATGTTATAGTATTTTTATTGGCAAATGAAACTATTCCAAAGATTTCCATAATCACTTGGGGACAGCATTAGCTTATACTGACAAAAGGTTTTTATGGATAAGAAACTACATCACTGAATGGATAAAATATACAATAGGGAGGCCAGGGTCACTAAAAGTTCCTCCAATCAACAAAAATAAGCAAAAGATCATAGTTACAAAAAAAACTATTTAGACTACTCCAGGTTGCATACCAAACTTGCAGAGGATCTATATCCACTCCTTGGAAAGTTCTTTATTCCGCTCTAGCCGAATCTCCCAAAAAAACTGTTCTAGCAGCATTTAGCCAACAATTTTGGCTTTCCTTCTAAGATTGTGTCTGCGAACCATGAGAGAGAGAAATCGAGTGATTGTTATACTTCTAGGGAGAGGCATAGCCACAGAAAGTATCCACTATCCAGCAATCTCATCCAAAAACCATATGTAACAGGGCAGTTAATGAAATGTCTCTCAGCAGTTTCTTCTTGGGGAAAGAGAATATTTGGGTTTCTAGCTTGGACTTTACCAAAAGTATTTACCCCTTCCCAAATTCGAACTCCACAAAGAGGCCTTACTCCTTTAGGTGGTTGGATCTCGAATAATGTGGACTAAATCTGAACAGAAAAACTTTCATTTTAGATAACTCGAATAAAGAAGAGAAAGAAAGCATCCCTGAAGAGCACTCAACCACACCCTTTGAGAAGAAAGGCCATATGACTGTGCTAGAATTTTCTATTTCATTCACTCTCTATCTAGGGCTTGGATGCTGCTATTTGGACCTTTACTTTTGGCTTGATGCCAAGCATTCTTATTCAAATTTATCTTTCTTGACCATGTTAATGTACTTTCTGGAAAGCATGCTATCTTGTTCCTTTGGATGTTCCGTAATCTATGGTTTCATGAAGCCTTGTTAATTTTGTACCCTGCTCTGTTAACTTATGCAGCATATTTGCTGCAGTGTTCATCTGGTGGAACTTCTAGGTACAGACGAACTTTATGCCTTGAAAGCAATGGAGAAATCAGCACTCTTGAATCGAAACAAGGTCTTATAAGAAATCCATGGTTTGATTTACTAGAACACCTGAAGATTTCTGCTTCGTAAACTTGTTTGCAATCGTAGAGTGGATTGCAAGAAATCAATTTTTCTAAGCTGATGTTTTCTTGAAGGCACTTCAAAAGCTCTGTAGAGTTCATGATTGCCTCGAGAGGACTCCATGCATCTCCATAACAGAGACTTAAGATTAAAAGAGACTTTGCTCAAAAACATATCTACAAGTACATGAGTAAAAATTTTCTGAAAATTGGACAGAGATGGTTGGAGATGCTTCGGTATAATATCACAGGGTCTTGAACGAATGTACCAACTAGTTATATAGTTACTTCTTCTAATCACCTTTATTGAGGAGTAATTTGTGATTAATTGTTTATGTGAAGGTCCACAGAGCATGCATGGAAAGGCAAATCATTGCGCTTCTGGATCATCCTTTTCTTCCAACACTATACACTTCATTTGAGGTGCAATCATTTCTTATTCCATATCTGTTTTCCAAATTAATTCTACATGCACATGTTAGAAGTAATCCTGCTCATTTTTGCAAATATGGCATGTTTATGAAACTCTCGCTAGAAATCCACCACACCAATGTCTGCTTCGGCAATTGCTAAAGGGCATTGTTTTCAAACTCACACGGCTTATTATAATGTTAAGAGCTGTTCCCATAAGAAAATATTTTGCATCTCATGTGTTGTCTGACTCTCTTGAGGCGGATTTGATGGATGACTAAAGCCACCCTCTACTAGGGAGCAATTATGACATGCCTTGCTTCAATACATAACATGAAAATTTGAATTTAACTGCAGTTGATTACTTTTCTTCCTTCCGTTATTCTACGAAGTTTAGCTATCTTACAATGCAAAGATCAATATTGTTGATAGCAGCAAATTGTATGTTTAAAGTTGAGCAAGTCTGATGATCAATTAATTATAAGTATGAACTGAAATATAGTCTTTGGCTAATGGATAGTCTAGTTTTCTTGTTTTTTAAATATTTTTCACCCACGACATCAGTATAGTGCTGCTGATTCTTCCTTGTTTAACCATGTACATATTACAAAAGACAGCTGTGTAGTGATACCATTATTTGTGTTTTCTTTCAGACCCCTACACACGTTTGTTTGATAACAGACTTTTTCCCTGGTGGGGAGTTATTTGCATTGCTTGATAAGCAGCCAATGAAAATGTTTAAAGAGGATTCTGCAAGGTACCCTTTTTAATTAATACCATAAATTTCTAAAGTTTTTCATTTAGCAAGTTAGGATTGGGATTATTACTTGACGTTATAATATGGGGAAGTTAAGTAAGACCTTAAGCTCTAGGTATGACCCAACTATAGAAATGGGGAAAAGAATCTGAAATAAAGTATTGAATCGTAGTACTGTAATAGCACACTATTCTCATTCTGTACATTTCTTCCAGTTGGAGTCTAAGTTAGTTTGTGAATATGATGCAGATCTAATTTGGTGAGGCTCAGACTTCTACAAAAGTTGTATAAAAGGATATATTAGTTTTTCTTTTCAGCGTTGAAAAATATTTTGTGTTAGAACTAGTTAGCAATGTGTTTACTTCTTTCATGTTTCACCTAAGGCGTGTTGACACTCTCAACTTGTTATGCCCCATTCTCATCTTCAGGTTCTATGCTGCAGAGGTCGTCATTGGCTTGGAATATCTTCACTGTCTAGGTAACATTGATCTTTCGGTTCCTACAATTTCATCTGACATATATACAATATTTGTTCCTATTCTTCTGTTGCTTTGAGTTGCCTGATAATAACACCAACTTACAGAAGGGTTTTCTGAAAAATAAGAATTATTGTTTCAACTTCAATAACGTTTTGACTTCATTTATAAAGATCATACAGATTTGAAGATTCATTAATTTTCATCATCAACCCAAATCTGCCCTTCCTTTTTCGGGAGAGAGGATGGGGGTGGGGATAAGAAACATTTCATTGAAAAAGGAGAGGTAGAATACAAAGAGAGGGAAGGGCAAAATGCCCAACCAAACTCAATCACTAATGCAGATTGAAAAAGGGGAATGAAAAAACCATTAGGAGTACTACTCATTTATAGGCCAAGAGGAAAATATTCTCCTTGACTTCCTGTGGTCCCTAAAGACATCCTTAAAAAAACATTTTTTTTTTCTCTCCCTCTAAATCTTCCAAAACAGACGAGTAGGGGAGAGATTGAACCTAGGGCGGTTTTTCCAAATTTTGTCACGAGTGTTTTTCATTTTAGGCAATTTAGAACTCCAAAGAATTTGTGGTGAAGGCCTTGGGAATAATCTCCATGTTATTCACAAGGGTATTAAAACGTAGATTTACTTAACTCGATATTAGTTAAATCTCAGCTCACCATTTATATTTTAGAATATGGAAGGTTTACTGTGTGACAAGATAAACTGCATTGTTAATTAGAGAAAAGCCTTCAATTTTATCTGGTTGGTTTCTAATTTTTCACGATTTGATGCAGGAATCATTTATCGGGATCTGAAGCCCGAAAATATTCTTCTCCAAAAGGACGGACATGTTATTCTTGCTGACTTCGATTTATCACTTATGACATCCTGCAAACCACAGGTGCATCCCAATTTCTTATTGAACCATTTTAACACCACTTTTTATAGACTCATATTCAAGGTTTTCATTCTCTTTAAGTTAGGAAATGGTGTTAATTATTGGATACAAGTCTTGAGCCATGCATCATTCATACATAACAATGGTCACGTCAAACTACTATGGGGCATGCCATATCCATAGGCTGGGGGCAGTGGAAGGTTAGATGCTGAAGAAATGAAAGCTGATTAAGTAGTTGGGATTTTTCAAATTGAAACTCTGCAGTACATTTATTAAATATAAGTGTAGCACAAGAGGAGTGCATAGTCCCCTGACATGGAGGTAAGCTCAATTAGATAAAGTAAAAAACTGATTCGAGCTTGTGGAGTCCTGTCCATGAGCTACGCAGTCATCTTAATTTTCCCACCCACCGGATCCAGAAACTATTGTTTTGCTATATCATATTAAGCGGATTGAAGCTGGAACCATGAAAAATCAAGGTTCACATGCATTGTGCACAAAAAATTTAGAAAGCAAAAAAAAAAAAAATCCTACTTAGCTAGGCTTGAGAGATATGACAATAGAGGGAAATGTGCTTTTTGCACTAGTTGACAGTGGAAATTGTTGTTGGAATTAGGTGTTCGTATATATTGATCTGCTAGTTATATATATGGTCTACACTCATGCAAACTTCTGTTAGATGACATTTGATACAATCCCATCTACTTTGTAAAGAGTTTACTAATTGTACTTTTTGAATCACAGATTGTGAAGTACCCAGTGACTAACAAGAGAAGGAGATCTCGAAGTCAACCGCCCCCAGTATTTGTTGCGGAGCCAGTCACACAATCAAATTCATTTGTTGGAACTGAAGAGTATATTGCTCCTGTATGGTGAATCCCCAGTTATGCGTTCACGTACTTCATACTACTTATTTTCTTTGATTAGTTTGTTTAATAAGATGCTTTTTGTGGAGCCATAAAATATTAGGTATACTTTTTACATGATGTGGAACCCTAAGGAAAAGACAAAAAAATAAGTAATTCAGTAACTAAAGACTAATTAGTCAGATCAGATTATAAAGAAATAGATAATTTGGCCTTTGCTACCGGTGATTTGGAATGGGTTTTTTTCCCAAGTTCGACAGAAAATGATGACAAAAGACATACTTTTTCAGATTTCTTTTGCTTTCAGAGCATGATAGTGGCAGTGGCACATAAATTGCATCTTCAACTAAGAAAACATTCGAGAGATGCACAAGCCAGTGTATCCAAAAAAAGTTGGTTTATTAGAAACACTCATAAATGGTATTCTGAAGGACTGGCAACCTTAATAATATGAGATGATGATGATTTCGTTGGTTTAGTTCTTCTCAAATCCTTATTGGTGCTTCGATTGCAGGAAATTATAACAGGCGAGGGCCACAGCAGCTCTATTGATTGGTGGGCTCTAGGTAAGACCTTGGTGGACTTGCAAGACCATTTGTCTGTTTCTGCCTGCACTTACCTTGTCTTAATTTTTTCTATAACTAAAATTGCGAACATGACATTGTAAAGACAATTAATTTGAGGAAACTACTAATGCCACAAGTAACTGAAACTTGTTTGCATCATAACTGATCACATTGCATGAATTCATTCGTGTTGATTACTTGGAACAAGCCAGAAATTTATGTGGTTGTAAATTGTAACTATGAACTATCTTTATATTGCCTTGATAAATAAAATCACACAATATGTTCTTGTTAGTTAACCACCCTACTTTCACATTTCTATCATCAAATTACTTATTCTCCGTATCTATTTATGTTGAATAGAGAACATCTTTGCTTACTTTACTATTCATAAGATTTTGATGTGATGCTTTTCTAATTCAAGAATTGAAAAATGGTTGTGTTTGGGATTCAGGTATATTGTTGTATGAGATGCTTTACGGTCGCACACCTTTCAGGGGAAAGAATAGGCAGAAAACTTTCGGTAACATCTTGCACAAAGATCTCACCTTCCCGAGTAGCATTCCGGTAAAATAAAAGATCTATTGCAAAGAATTATTTGATACATTGCTTCTATCCTTGAGTATCAAGTTACTATCTGATTTAGTGCAATTAGGGTACATCATAGCAACTTTATATGGGGTTTTCAAACTCACTAAAGAAGATACTTCGAACAAACAAAAGGATGTCGGTGTATAAAGTAGTTAGTCTAACTGGGATTGTCAAATTGGTCAAACAAGACCAAAGGCTTATCTGATCTACTACATGTAGCATTTGCTAGCTAGTGGGCAAGTTTTGTCTAGCCTCCTCGACCTCGAGTATCATATTTTTGTTCAAACCTCTCAAAGGTGTATTCATTATGCATCTTGTTCGAATTATTGAGAATTAGGGGTCCTTGTTAGATAGTCATAACATTTATCACTTTATGCATCTGAACTATGAAAAGGCATTGCTGGAAACTTCAAGGATCGCCATTTTTGATGCATTAAACTTGCAGTTTTTGCCGTATCTGGTATCTTTCAATCCCTTCAGAACCAACTACTGATTCACTTACTCTTCCAGGTAAGTCTTGCTGCAAGGCAGTTGATCAATGCATTGCTACAAAGAGACCCCGCCCGACGTTTAGGATCAAGTACAGGTGCAAACGAAATCAAAGAGCACCCATTTTTCCAATCAATCAACTGGCCGCTGATCCGATGTATGGTACGGATCCTCTCTACTTAAACTTATATTACTTGCAAGGAAAAGCTATTGACGTTTAGGAAAACTGTACCAAACTTAGCTGCCATTGATCTCTTGAAGAGCGTAACCATGTTCAACTCTTTATCAACCATTGATGATTATATTATGTTCTTAGCATCTGCATTTTTTTTTGTAATGAAGGTCCCACCACCATTAGAATCACCTCTTCACCTGACTGGGAAAGATGAAAAGGCCAAGGTCGTAAACTGGGAAGATGATGGGGTGCTTAGTCCAATGGATATGGATTTTTTCTGAAGGTTCTCACCAGAGCAACTCAACATGCATTACAATGGTTAGCTTTTTCCTGTTAGAAGTTGGTAACTGTCTTTATGCAGGGCTGGTTAGGCTTGTACAAGTCAAAGTTTGTCGCGGTTGCACATAGTCGGTAAGTCCCAGTTTGTTACTGGGACACATAGCTACCCCGATAACCGCTGTTTGTTAATGTGAGGCCTTCACTGTGATCGAAGTTCCGATGCCACCGGGATGGGATGACAGGTGATTTGTATTTCATGGTCATAACCATTCTACCTTAAGTCTTTGTATGTAATGACTGTCCATATAACAAGGAACGGATAATAAAATTTTCAGCAATAATTAGATGTACTCGTCTCTTTTTATTGTGATACGACTTGATTTGAATGAGCAAGATTCATCGTGACAAACCATTGTCACCTCATATGATGGCAAAATCTTGGTACAGTTTCTGACTAGTGACATCCAAAAATTGTTTGGTTGTCTTTTAAACAAAACATTTTCACGCAAACTTCGTATTTTTGTCTTTTTTTTAGCAGTTTTGAATCAAATGAACAATCAAATGTGATTTCTTTCCAAGTCTGTTGGATGTCAGTTAGAAATCAGATGATGTCTGAGAACGAACAGAATGAACAGGAGATGTCTGAACATATTCGTTTTGGTGTCAAATGCCTACAGAAATGACAGGTTTTTTGGTTTCTTTTATGCCATTTGCTGTTAGGAACATCATGTTATTGTGACCACTTTGTAATATTTCTGTCAAATAAATATTAAAAAAAAACTAAAAAAACTAAAAATAGTAATATAAATATAAAAGTTCAAATCTTGTATAGATTCTCTAAATTTCTAGACTTATTTTATTTCAATTCTTTATGTTTTTGAAATGTTCTACTTTTAGTTTTTTTCTAGACTTGTTTTGAACTTGCATGATTTTTTTATTTTTTTATTTTTTTTCTGATTCTCGTCATTAATTGTTTAGAGCTAAGTATGTAATTGTCTCTAATATATAATAATTTTCAATCAAATCTTTTCCACCAACTGTTATAGTTTCATTAAAAGTTTGTTCGTATGACATTAATATGTTTTTTTAAATATATAAATGATAGGGGTATGCTTAAAAATAGTAATACATAAAAGGGAAATTATGAAACTTACAAAATATTAAGGATAGAATTGAAAATGTGATGGATGAAAATATAAATACTTAATTGTACCATTATATATATCAAAACAACCCTTGTACTAAAACAACTATTATATTAAGACAATTTATGCATCATGGCAATCACAATGAAAACGAAATCATATCCTGCTCATAACTAATGTATTTCTAGAAAATACTATTATCTCAAGAAATGGCAACACG